TGGAGTCTCACCCAAGTACACACCGCCCCTCAGAAAACACTTGCTGAATGGTGTACAAGGCTATGTTTTCTTTGCAGATTCAAACAAATGCTTAATTAAAAACGCTGCTCCTGGCACGCAAGGTTGGAGAAAGCTCTGGCCCTACCAGCAGTCTAAAAACTCAGGCTGCCTTCTGAAGGCCGTCCCTGCACCCCACAGCTGCAGGGGAGGCAGACTTGAAGGTTCTGGGTCCCTCTCATCCTGCAGAGGCAGACCTTTCTTCTCCAGAGAGTTCCTCGGCAAAAGAAAGGCCGAATGCACATAAGCCAGGTCTTTAAATAGATTTTTATCAGCCCCAACAACCTGATCGCCAACTTTCCACACTTTCTGGGGAAGACAGCTACTTTATTCCACAAATGCATTCTGCACAAGCCTATCAGCATGCTCTGAGTTCATTAAATAAGCCAAACCGCACAACACACAGCGCAGGCTGGCATGAAAACCGGCGCTCCTCGCCCACTCCCGTCTCCCTGAGTCATCCTGTTACATCAGCCCAGCAGGGGAGGGGCTGACGCTGAAAGGTCTGGGCTCTGGAGTGGGAATTCGGGACAATTCTCCCTAATTCCCTTGTAAGTGAAATAGTCGAGCAGCTCAGCCATGGCTTCAAAGACTGCCCAGGATCACAGAGGAGCAACACAAAACGCACAGCTTAGCATTTTAATCCAGTATGAAATGTTCATTCTGGGTTTCCGAACAAAACTCACTGACCTAAATTTCCAGAATAAAGTACAAGCGATTTCCCTTGACAGTGGTTCCACTCACTGTGTGTTGGCAAAGCAGAGTAGACCCTAGTGGTGGGATCTCCTGCCTCCTGCCCGCTCACGTTCAAGGTCAGCCCACAGACAGCCACGCCTGCGCGGGATTCACGGCCACCCGCACCTTGGACCCGCTGGTTCTGTTTCTGGCTCTACTACGGGGCCGGAAGAACCACCGACACCTGCAGCACCAGGCTTCCCTGCCTTGGAACAGTGAACACAGGGCCTGAAGGGGTGGGCTTGAGAACAGAGACCCCGGGACATGACTGAGTACAAACAGGGCTCCACCGAGCGCTCTCGTCTAAGACCGCTTACTCTCAGGGCCAGGCTGTGAAGTTAAGTTACTGCTGCAAAATGAGGAAAACGTTGACAGAGTCGTGAGCACCTCAAACTGAGTTCAAAGAACTTTTAAATTCTGTCTTTCCTATTTTGGGGGTCTCCTCATGTTATCTTTATTTTTTTGAAAAGTTGGTGACAGTGGATTGTTTAAAAAAATGTCCTTACGTGGCAAAATAATAAAAGAATTGGCAATCCTATGTTGGCCTCTGGCATTCTGGAAGAAACTTCACTGTTCAGGAAACTGATACTCTGGTCCAAACGGTCTCACTCCTCCTTTTCCTGTATTTAAATGTATTTTAGTAAATATTTTAAAAGTTTCAGATAGTTGAATGATTAAATATTTAGAAATGAACCTTTTAAAGCATCACTCCCAGAGGAAAGTGACAAATAATGGGGGCACAGTTAAAGAGAATCAGTTTCAGTGATACCATTGATGGCATCACTCACCACCTTCACAGGGTTGACGCGGGGCCAAATTAGACAAGTAGGAAAGAATCCCATCCACATTTTCAGAGTAAAGTGAACTTAAATCCCAAAGGAAGCTAAGGAACAGACAGACAGAAGGAACTCACTTGCAGCCTGGGCCCTGACCACTCGCTCACCGCTGGGCCACTGTGGGCAAGCTGTCTACCCTCTGGGACTCTGCTTCCTCGTCTGTAAAATGTGGAAACCTTCAGGATTGTTGTGAGATTTAGAAAGAGTGTAGTTTTGCTGGTATACAGTACGTGCTCAAGAAACTGTAGCTACTGCTAACAGAATGTAACCCTTTACACACAGACAAAATAAATTACTTATCCAAAGTCACAAGCTAGTTCATGGAAAAGCTTAAATCAAGAGCCAAGGTTTTTTAGAATGCTTTTTGAGAAATGTAAAGTTGCTGGGAGTGGCGTAAAGGGTGCTGCCTGGTAAAAACATTTTGATCCAAATAAAACCAACAGCAAGCTTCCAATAGTTATATAAGAAACACAGGTTGACACGGTATTTAGAGAGCTGTGAATTTCTACAGCCAACCAGTTTTTTTTTTCTCGTTTCTCAAACTTCGAAAAGCTGTATCTGTCAAACCATGCTGGCCACATCAGATTAATTCAATTCCATGACTATGAAATCCCATTTGAAAGTAATACTCCACCTGGACAATTTTCACTAAATAGGTCAATTATTAAAAGTCTTTTCAGTTTCATACCCTGGTGAGTTTCGCGTGTCTTTTAAACCAAAACAACTTCTGGTTTGATCAGTAATACAACAACAACAAAACTAACATTTTGTTCAGTTGTAATTTGATAAAATAGGCGTATTATCTCAAATCCCTCAGGCTTTCTGCTATGCTTCTTTACAGAAATTCTGGCAAGACTGCCTGGCTTTATCAAATGCTCACTGGAGGTGCTGCTTCCAGTCTGAGGTCGGCTGGGGGCATCACCTAAGTGACCCTCCTGGGTCAGCAGCGCCTGCACAAGGTGGGTGGTCTTTTCCAGACTCTGCAGCTGGACGGGGTGAGGCCGGCGGAACAGGATCTGTGCGGAGTCTGTGGAGGCGAAACTCAACCATGCGCCTCAGAAGGACCCTGCGAGCCACCTGCTCAGGTGGGGGCATTCAGGTGAGGCAACCCCAGCTACACCACACCCAGCGCCGCATGTACACTTGCTTTTCTAAGGAACTCAAGGAATGAACTTATCTCTACAGCATTCCAGAGCAGAGGAAGGCCTTGACCAGCCCCTACTCCACCTGGACTGGGGGGCTTTCCCCGCGCTCCCCAGACGGTCTGCAGACATCTCCACATTGCCCTAATCGCTCTGGGGCATCCCCAGGAACCCCCTTCCCCACCCTTCAGTCTGGACAGACTGTCCTCCTCACCACTGAGGCCCCCATGGGTAGCACAGCACCCGCACACAGTAGGTGCTCAACAAGTGATCTGATACGTGGAAGGGAAAAGCGACTCAGAGGCAGAGATAGAGGGGGGTTTAGCTAACTTCCTCAGTGTTCTCACAGTCTGGGTCAGACCAGAAGTTATCATCTTTCTCTGAACTTCCCACAAATAAACACTTAGCAAGCCAAGGACTACAGGCTATGTATGGAGAAAATAAAAACAAGCAAGGCAAAGTCAAAGTGCACAAGGGACCCCAGCGGCAGGGGTTGGGGAGGCGTGTATACATGTGCATTTATATTTGTTTGTTAAGGGGACAAAGAAACTGACTGCCTGGCCCCCTCCTGATTCCCAAGTACCCGAAGAAACTGTCTCCCTGCCAGGGCTGTACCCAGAGGCCTTTATGGCTCCAGCTGATACAGAAGGTCCACCCTCCACGCTTCATGGCAGCCCAGGTCTTGCAGCATTCATTCCCCATGTCCCCTAATGACTGTAGGGGTGCTGCCGCACTGTGGCCCCAGCGTAGGAAACCCCTCCCCACCTCCCCTCTGCCCTGTTCTACAGCACATCTTCACCCTCCGTCTCACTCTCCACCCACCAAACCCTATTATCCACCTAGCAGGCCTATGCTGGTTTCTCTACATCACATAGTACAGCTGTGTTATTCTTCATTTTTGTGTATTTTAAAGTATCGAGCCATAAAAGATGGATATTTCTGAATTACTTTTAGTTCTATTTTACTTATGCCAGGTACAAAAATTAACAGCACAAACCATCTTCTGATGGTTGAATAACTTCATGTACTTTATATGATCCAAAATTGGATATTTGAAACAGGTCTAAGCTACACTACTGAACTTTAATCTCAAGGTTTCAAGGCCAAGATCTTAACAACAAACAGGGTACAGAGAGCACAAATACATCCAAACTGATCTATTATTTAAAAGTATGAAAGGAAACACGTTCTCACAAACAAAACAAAAAGATAACATGAAAAGTTTAAGATTAATCTTTCAATAAGCCATTTCAAATGGAGGGGTCTTCTGTAACATGATTACAAGGCCAATTAATCTCCAAATTGTATCACCTTGGAACTATCTAAATACACAAGTGGTGTGTGGAATGAATGTTTCAGTTCTGAATTTCATGATTATATACTATGTATTATTTCTTGGACCTCCCCTAGGGGAATCCCCCCCACCACCCACCCATTACAGAGGTGATTGATCTTCCCCTCAAACAACTATCTCATCTGAGGGGTTCCCCTTTGACAGCTTTTAAGGGGTTTTCCAGAGAAACAACTGTTAACACAGTGACCAGACAGACCTCAAAGTCAAGGCCTATACATGTGACTCCATCAGAAAACTTCCCTGCAGTTTCAATTTTACATTCTGAGGACAGGCCACTTCCAGGCCCAGGGGGTTCCTGTAATTACTTGGCTGCCCCCTTCACCCAACTGGCAGTGTGGTGGCGGGGGGGGGGGGGGGGGCAGGGGGCGGGAGGTGCCCTTCCCACTTGGGGGTCCCCTGGGTTATTCGAAGTCACAGAAAACCACAGCTGAAGCCCTTCTACTCACATTTATAGTTTAAAGAAGAAACTTCTTAGTCTTACTCCGAATATTATCCACAGACCCTCCCCCACAGGGGATTTAAAACTCCCATTATTTCAGCAAGACACAAAATTGAGTTCAAAATTAGAAAAACAAGTCGCGTGGACAGTGGAAATGCCCCTCCTCCTAGGAAGGCAAAGCTCAAGCATCAAAATTCTCCAGAGGGGACCACTCCGGCCATCCAGCCAGGGCACAGCTCGTGTCCACCACGCTGCCCGCCTGCCCCCCTTCTTCCTGATGAGGAGTTGGGGGGGGGGTGCTCCCGTGGAGAGATGCTCACACTGTCCCAGGCTGGACAGGCCCCGTGCATCCCCGGCCTCGAGACGACCAGGGCGGGGGCTCCGTCCAGTCCGGGGGATGCAGGGGCCCCCGGGGGCCGCCCCCCGGCCCGCCTTACCTACGGTGGACTTGCAGGCCTCGCAGAAAGTGTCGTCGGTGAAGCGCTCCATCAGGCTGGTCTTGCCCACGCCGCGGGAGCCGATGATGATGACCTGCAGCTTGAAGTCGGCCGGCCTGGGGGGCTGCTTGCGCCGGCGGGCCTGGCCGCCCGACAGCGCCGGGGAGCCCGCGCCCAACCCGCCGCCGCCCGCGGGCCGCCTGTGCAGCGCGGCGCCCGGATCCATGCACGCATGCGGCCCCCCGCGCCCCCGCGCCCCCTCGGCCTCCGCCAAGCGCCGCGGCTCGGCCCCGGGCTGGGCGAGCGCGCGCTCGAGCGGCCCCGGCGGCCCGCGGGCTCCGCGCTGCAGCTGCGCCGCCGGCCGGCCCCCAGCGTCCGCCCCGCCGCCGCCGCTGCCGCCGGGGGAGGAGGAAGGGAAGCAGCTACTCCGCAGCAGCGGTAGCAGCATCCCGGGCGAGGCGGCGCGACGGCGCAGGCGCGGGCGGGCGGGCGGGCGGCGGGGCGGGGCAGGGACTCGCGCGCGCCCCCTGCCGGCCGGAGGACCGCCCCCGCGCGCCTCCAGCTGCCTGCTGGCGCTCTTTCCTTGGCCTCCGCTGCTCTCTGGCTCTCTAGCCTTTCTTTCTGCGACCTTCACCTTCTGCCTCCCCGCCATCCGCATCCCCTCCTTTCCTTCTTCCCTCTTCCTGTCCCTGCTGTCATTGAGCGCAGCCCACAAACACTAGGCCCGTGCGATAGCCGTGTCCCCCAAACCTGTTGCATGCACTCCGAGATAGTCCCCCTCCCCACCCTGCTCCAGATCACCACTGCAAACTCCCACTGACCGTCCCAGACCGGCCCCCGCGTCGACCCCCACTCCCTGTGGGGGGGTCCCCTGCACCCCCGCCCCGGCTCAGGCCCGGACCCACCCACCCCTCTTGGAAGGCAGACTGATCACGTCTGTCTCATATTTTCCATAGGAAACTCGCCGAAAATCAGTTATTTTTAAGTCCTGATTGCTGCCTAATACAAAATGCATACGTTTTCATTCCGTTTAACTTGTAAATAAAATAAATAGCCTGCTCCTTTGGGGAAGCCCGTGAGTTCAAACAGGAGTAAGGAACTCCAAGACAGACACTCCAGAAGTTTAGGGACTCTAAGCTCGGGCTGTGTGTTTGGCCATTTCTGTTTGGAAGGATTTAAGGATTCAGAAAATCACTGCTCCGATCCCTTGCCAGGGATCTGTTTAGCAAATTCCTCAGGGTGAACTTGAGCACCTCAGGACACAGGGTTCTAAACATGATAGGAGCTGGCACATTTGCCAGCATGATCATGTAACTCACCAAATTTCAGCTTTATTTAGAACTAGGTTTAGTACCAGCTTAGTCCATGTGGGTATTACTCTACTAACCTGATTTGTGAAAGTGCAGCATTGCCCACAGGGTAAACTGGAAGCTTAACACGTATAAGAGCACTCTTAGCTCTCCAAAAGCAACCACAATAGAAATCTTTTCAGTCTTTCCAGTATTCTTGCCATGATAATCCCATGGACAGAGGAGCCTGGCAGGCCACCGTCCATGGGGTCGCAAAGGGTCGGACACGACTGAGCAACTAACATACTTTCACTTAGAATGTTTAAAATACGATCAGATCTCTGTTGTTTTAAGCACGGCTCCATCACCTAACAGTCAATGAGTCTCTCTGAGCTGTAGATTTCTCTCCCCTTCTATAGGAATGAGAGTGACTCCTCTTGCCATTCAGCGTTGTCAGGAGAACACCTACTGACAATCTATGCAGCGTTTGTTACAAACAGTAACTCACTCCACTAATGTAAGGAATTAAAGAACCTGATTTACCCAAGGCTTTCCAGAGATATTTCAATTTCACAAAGCAAAACACATTTGCAAAGGTAATCTCAAGATTTTTAGTTTGTTCCATCCTGATTTGGAGCACTTCCTGTTCCAATAGGCAAAATTTTGTGGTGTGGGTTGTGTAGCCAAAGACCCTCTTGCCTGTAATATAGTATCTTCCTCATGAAGCAACTCTGTAATATTTCCTTCACTGGGATACATAATGGGTTAAGTGGCAGGAAGTTGGGTAGCACCCCCAGAGGGCCCAGTTAAAATCCTTAGTGTTGCTTTGCACTATCTATTATTACATAATGTTCCAGCACATAGAACCAGATACACAGTACAATGCAGTAGCTATTTGTAAAAGAATGAAGGACATTTCATAGTGATAAAGTTAGCGGTCTCTGTAGGCTGTCCTAAATCCAGATTGTGAAATAAAGGGGATACCCTGTCCACCTGCTTTTCCCCTGGAAATTCCTCCCTATCATTTTATGAGACCCCCCCCCCTTCCTTCACTACCAGCTTAGTGCCATCATCACCACCTAAGCCCAGAGAAGCTGTAACTTTTACAAAGGACCAGAACTGGAAGGGCATAGAAAGTGGGTCACCAATCCCCAAAAGACAGGCAAAGGAAGAGAAGCCGAAGAACCTGGGGAAGGTGGGGACAGGAGGACTCTGGAGATAGTGGGTCCTGGGGAGGGAGGGCTGTGGTTTACAAAGGTAGGACTGATCACAAGAATCAAATCTTATAGACCAGTCAGGTCAAATTAGTACAGGTACTCCTCAATTTTTGTGGCATTGAGGCACCATAAGGATGACTGTGCAGATTCAAACACTTCAAAATGATCTTCATAATGAATGGGAAAATTAGGATTGTTCCATGACCTTCACACATTTTCTTGAGATATTAAAATCATCATCAGTTATAAGTATAAAGAAATGAAAGAAATAATGAAACTAGTGTTATTTAGGACAGTGTCACTGAACACATCAGAAATGCTGATAAAGTGCTTTGTGTCTTTGTAGAATCCTTATCAAGAATAGCTTGAACAGTGCTCATCTTCTTGTCATGAGACTCAGGATAAGCCATGGATGTCTTTCCATGGTGTGCTGAATTGTTGCAATCCTTCCAAAGCTTGGATCAGCTTCCAGCATTTTGTTCTTTGAATGCTCAACGTTATGAATCATCTCCAGTTGTTCACTAAATGTTAGGTTTTTTGCTGGCTAATTACTTCCTCTGGGCTGGCTTCATCTTTTTCATCACAACCATTTTCCTCTGTTGTGTCGATAAGCTTGTCTTCCCTGAGCTCCTCTGTCAGGATGTCTGAAACTTCTCGAAAGGTGGCAAGGTCACTCATCCCAGAGTCAGCTGTTTCTTTTTAGATTTCTTTTATTGAAATAAAGTTGATTTACAATGTTGTGTGAATTTCTGCTGTACGGCAAGGTGACTCAGTTACACATATATTACAATCCTTTTCATATTCTTTTCCATGATGGTTTATCACAAGATATTGAATAGCTCCCTGTGCTATACAGTCGGACCTTGTTGTTTATCCATGCTCTATGTAATAGTTTGCATCTGCTAATCCCAAACTCCCGTCTATCCCTTACCTCAGCCCCTTCAGCCATTTCTTCTCTAACTCCACTCATACAGATTCAGTTTCACTTCCCGTATGATCACTTTTTATTTCTGTGATATGCACCTTCCTTTTTGGCGACCGGTTTCCTCTTTCGACTGTCTGTTTTTGGGAAATGTCATGTGGACTTAGCATGGGAGATAAGGAGGCAACATGATGACCCACTCTGCTGTCAAAGGAAGGCTGTCGTCGTTCAGTCACCAAGTCGTGTCCGACTCGATGACCCCACAGACTGCAGCACGCCAGGCTTCCCTGGCTTTCACCAGCTCCTGGAGTTTGCTCAAACTCACATCCATTGAGTCGGTGTGGGGCCTGAATAACCCCACAGGGACCAGTCACCAACAGACTCTGAAAGAAGTGACATTGTAAAGGAGGCTCTGACTCCATTTTTTGATGTTTGACGACTGACATCTTTTAAGCCTCACCCCTGCCTCCTGCCCTAGTGCCCCATGTCCGGGCAAGTGATAAGAAAGCCTGGGCCCTCCCTCTTATGGAGTTGGTGGGAGATTCAAACCACTCAAGTCCCTGCCACATGTAGGAAATGTCACCCTAGCCACTTTCCCCGACCCCTATCCGAGTACAACAAACCCCGAGTGCATCTCCTTCTCCTGCTGTCAAGTCATTTTCAAACTACATAGCTTAGAAGACCCACCCTGTACTCCCTGGAATGCTCTGATTATGTCAACATCAAGCATGCCTCTTGGTGTGTGCATGGCATCACTGGTCTCGACATCCAAACCACGTTCTGGTGCAGTTCAACCCTGTTCCTTGGAGTGGCCACAGGAGACGTGATGGTCACTGGTTACTGTATACCCCTGGTGCTTATGTAGCACCCTGAAGAGCTAGCTGTGAAGTTTGTGCATTTTGCAATCATGTGTAGTTAATATACCATGGTCATAGAAACTTGAATTGTTCGTGTTGGACTTATTTAATAACTCCAGTTATTAAATAACTACATTGAGGTAGCCAAAGTTCCTGCTTATCAGAACCACACAGAAGGGGCTGTCTGTTTTGAAAAGCTTTCATCACAGTGAGGGTGGGAATCAGATTGCGTTGTTCTTCTTCATTAACTGAATGTGGATTTTTGTCCATGGACTCACATTGTTTTGTGAACCCATCTGTTCCAGGTAAAGCTTATCCAAGCATCAGGATCCGGGGGGAATGTTGGTTTGTCTGAGTCACTCACTCAGATTCTGTTCTCCTTGTCAGTAGGTAACTTCAGTTCAGTTCAGTTCAGTCACTCAGTTGTGTCCAACTCTTTGCGACCCCATGGACTGCAGAATGCCAGGTCTCCCTGTCCATTACCAACTCCTGGAGTTTACTCAAATTCATGTCCATTGAGTCAGTGATGCCATCCAACTATCTCATCCTCTGTCATCCCCTTCTTCTCCCGGTTTCAATCTTTCCCAGCATCAGGGTCTTTTCAAATGAGTCAGCTCTTCGCATCAGGTGGCCAAAGTACTGGAGTTTCAGTGTCAACATCAGTCCTTCCAATGAATATTCAGGACTGATTTCCTTTAGGATGGACTGGTTGGATCTCCTTGCAGTCCAAAGGACTCTCAAGAGTCTTCTCCAGCACCACAGTGACATATGACCAATCTCTGGCCAAAGAGACATGCAGGGAAATCTTCAGGAAAATAGAGCATCCAGTTAAAAAGTACTTCAAGAAAAGACTCAAGGAAGAGATCACCCTGCAGATGAGGGGCCTTGAGGCTTAAGCTTCATGACTTACAATAAATCTGTAGCTGCAGAAATACCAGTGC